TCGCCGACTGCCTCAAGGCGCTCAAGAGCTACGTGGATGCGGGCAAGTGCGTCGCGCCTGTCGACGCCATCTGCCAAAAGATCCCGTCGGGTGCCTACGGCTGTGTCTTCCCGTCGTCTCCTGCCACGACTATCCCGTCGAGCTACGTGCCTACGCCCGCTGCCTCGGTTCCGTCGCCGACGCCGGCCGCCTCGGTTCCTTCGCCGACACCGGCGGGTTCGATCCCTGCCTACCGCAACCTCCGCGCGTAAGCACACCATCCGAGAGTAGGATATTGACGTCCACCATGAGTGCTGACAAATGCATAAATATACATCTTTTCATATTACTTTTGTTTGGGATTCGTCGTCGACGGAGTTGCAGCAACAACCCGTGCTTGGCACCAGTTGGAACTACTGCCGTGCAATGTGTCATGGACGCAATAAGCATCATGCTCGTGTACGTATCGCTGTTTCGCATGATCTTGTAAGCAGATTCGTGCGCAATGAAGTGCGTGCAAGCAACCATGACCAACATCATTCGCCGAAGGCACTGTCCCGGCACTGGCCAAAGTTGTCGCCACTTTTGCTGTTTATGGGCATGAGAGTCTAGCATCCACTTCAATAAGACTACTTTACTGGTGTCCGCTCCGAAGCAAAGTTGACGGCGTCTTGCGAGGTGTCCCGTGGTCGCGTCGGAGGATTGCGCGATACCTGACACACCATGGATCGGCCGGCGCGCCATGGTGTGGTGTGCGATGCTCCACGTCGCGATGGACCAAGTGCTCCAGAGTGGACACCTGAAGGTAGCTATCTAGTTGTTTCAACGTATGGGTAGCGTCGAATGAGAGCTCTGAGGAGATGCAGGCACAGGCCAGCCAATGCTGGACATGGCATCTGCCTGCCAAGTTTCGATTTTGATTGCAGTCCTTTCCTTGGCTACAAATAGGGGCACCTCGAAACCGCAGACATCTTCAACATATGAATGACATTTCTGCAAATAGAAGCGGTGCCACAGCATTGCTCCGCCATGACAACGGCGGTGCCCATGTTGCATTCCTCTGACATGGCACCAGCGCGAACGGTCGGTCGCGACAGCAGCAGCGAACCACCCAGTACTGCTTAGCCTCGACAACCAATGCAGCCGCACGGATCTGCACAATCACAACTAGCATATCAACCCTCTACCGTGACGCCGCCAGTCCACGACAATGGCCGCGACGACGACCGCGGCAACTCGATACGGATCGGTTACTCCAACGACGCCGCCAAGCCACGAACACGACAAACGACGCTAGCGGCAGCAGCGACAAGGCCCCGCTCGTACACGACGATTGCGGCGGCAGCACAAGCTCGATCGTCTCGATAGCATGCCGCAAATTTCGCTTTGCTGCGACATTGGCACCCGCGCCATTCAACGCTGTGAGATTACGGCACTACTACTCGCAACAAACATATACCCCCCACTGCCGACACCGCTCTACTTGGCTTTCGCACTTACGCTACGACGTTGGGACCGCTACGAGACATCCAGCCACGACAGTGGCGGCAACGACGACCCGACGCCGTCCGGTCATGACACCGATGCTTTGACATTCCCGACGGAAACGACGGCCCGGCGCTGCCCAAGAGGTTGCGGCCACAAGAGTCATCACGGTACGGCACCACCAACCGCGCGACAACTGGATCCTCACGACCAAGCACGGCTCTATTTGGAGGGCTACGCCTCTTTCGACCTCAGCGTCGACCTCGGCCTCGACGCGAATGGTCAACAATCAGAAGTCGCGACAAGGCTGCGCGCAAAGCCCAGCCAGACCTCCAGTACTTTCGATGTGGCACTTCCCTGTCGAGCCTCGACAGCCTCGCCAATCTGCCGCTGTTGGCCCCTTTGCTGGCAACGAGCGCGCCTCCTGAAATACCAGCTCACGTAGAGTTCTCCAGCCCAAAGCCACCAGCCACAGGTGCAAGATCAGCCAAACCACTGGAATGGACGACTTGAGGCCAGAGCATACGTCGGCGACGCGGCGCACGGACAGCCGGCCAGCGTCGACGGAACGCGACTTGGATTGCCCGAGCGCCCCAAGTGATGGCCGTGTATTACCTGCCGTCGCTCGCTCCCAAGAAAGCAATGGCAGGTGTTTGGGTCGCGCAAGGCCAAACTGGAGCAGCCGCGCGCCATATCCATTTGCGACTCATCGACATACATTCACCAACACACACTCTCGGTGATGCGAAAAAGTCAGCGCTGGCGGCTGGCCGGCGTGCTCGTGCTGCTGCTTCTGAGTCTACTGCACGTGCGGGTCCAGCGAGCCATCACGTACGAGCAGGCGCAGTCGAGAGACGCTTACATTGCACGTAGGAGCGAAGTTCTCGCGCGGTACCCTACTACTGCCGCTGCATGCTCGACCGATGCCCCATTCTTTGACGTGGCGGTGCACTCGGACGCGCCGCCGTCGATGGCATGGAGGGACTGCTTGCCGCTGCGAATGCACGAGTGCGGCCTCCTTGTAGGCGATGCGGCGTCGCTGCGCACGCACCCGGCTACGGACAAGAAATGCCGATCGGCCATCGGCCATCGCCTTTTGCTCGACGCTGTGGACGTACGCAGCCTCCATTGTGACGCGTCTTGACCTCGTGGCAGGCGCTGCATCGGCAGAACCACGTTGCATTTCTTATAGGGCCAGCACTGCGCCACGTGTGGGAGTTTGAGGCCCTACCGCCCAGCGTGCTCGAAGTCGATGTACGACAACCGACCGGCAAACCGCTTTCTCATGAGCATTGTGCCAAGTAGGTCGCAACAAGTGCTTCAGACAGCGCGAGTGCGTCATTGTTGTGGCGCCGCGGCGTGGCGACGTTCATCGATGCGCAGCGCGGTCGCGTTTCGTGCATCGCCGCCCACCATCCGCTGGCGTCCCTCGTCGGCGACGGCAGTTTGCCGTCGGTCGTCGGGCCCGATAGCGGCATCCCGTACCTTCGCTGGACACATCTCGAGGTCCACAACTCGCTCTGGACGCTGACAACGACGAGTCACGTGACGTTGCGCGGCAGCGACGCCACGCATTATGTGCATCAATCCCTCTTTCCGCTGCGCTGTCGACCGCTCTACACCGGATCGATCCCGACGCCACACTTTCCATCAGCGTTTTTCGATACGACGGCGCCGTCGCCGACGTACCCAAGTGTCAGCTGCGAAGCCTACTGCGCGCCACCGAATGCAACGCGCATCTTTGCGAAGAACACGGTGCCAAACCTCCCGCGCTGCGCCCGAGACGACGCCGCCGCCGAGCGCTTCCATCGATTGGTACATGCCGTGTCAAAGGATGCGATAGCGGTTGCGGCCCAGCACACTGTCGACCTCGCACCCCTCGAGACCATGAACGCGCTTCGTGACGCCGCGCCGTGGCGTCATTGCCTCCCGATGCAACCGCAGACGTGCGACGTCGCCGACAAGTCGACACTGTTTGAAACACCGCGCGGGCGTCCGTGTCGGTCGGCGGTCTTGCATTTGCTCTTGGACGACATCCTCGAGGTGCTGCGGACCGAGTATTACATTGCTTTTGTGCATTTTGGCACGCTGCTCGGTGAGCGTGCAACGATGCGTTCGGAGAACCCATTGCGCTGGTGGCGACGTAGGTGCGTGGCGCTATGGGCGCGTGCTCGCGCACACACCGGATGTCGACATTGCTGTGTCTGCTGACGTCGACTGGGACTATGTACAAGAGCTCCTGTGGGCTCGCGGGTACTTTCTGTTTCATACGGGCGTCCACTCGGCGTGCATGGCGCGACACCATCCAGTAGCGTCGCTGGTCTACGCACCGCACGTACAGCCAAGTTCACTTTGACAAACGCCAAAACGAGCTGATTTTGCGGCGTAGGCACCGGTCGTGACGTCGCCCGACCACGGGACACCGTACGTCGATTTGTACCTGTGGTGGCCGACACGCGACAACGAGCACATCCACGTGCAAACCGCCGTCGACGAGTTGCCGCGCACGGCGTTCTTTCCACTACGATGCGACTACTCGGTGTTTGGAACCGCCGTGCCGAGCATGCAGTACCCCGAAGGCATGTTCCTCTCTGAATATGGGCCATCGTACGTGCTGGAGGAGACGAAACACGCGCTCCTCGGTCGCTGTGATGCCTACTGCGACCGCCCGCTTCAAGTAGCGCGCCCTTCTCGGTCTTAGCGATCTCGTCGAGGACTATGTAATATGAAATTGTGGCGTCCACATTCTCGTCGATGGATACAGGTAGCTAATTTGTTTATTGTTTATAGTAGAATTTGTTGGGAATCGAACGGTTTACGCCTTGCTAAAGAGGTGCACGTCGTACCGTTGCTGCGAGTCGGCAAACTTGTCGTTCCAGTGCAAGCCCGCGCTCTGCACGAGGCGCTTCATCTCGTCTTCCGAGTACTTGTGCGAGTACGCAACGTGGATGAGCTCGTTCTTCTCGAGGCCAATGGTCTTTCCGAGCACGTGAATCGTCTGGGCCTCCAGCGACTGCAAGTGGGCTTCGTGGCGGCCCTCAACGTCGTTGTAAATCGACTTGTGTTCAAACTTGGAGCGGTCAAAGACTGGTGCGTTGAAGAGGTGGTTCATGTGCGAGAGACTGTTGAGAACAAACTCGCGGTGGAGGCCGCTCGGGTCGTTGTACGCGGCCTGGACCGTACTGCCCTCCTTCCGGCGGTCAATGCCCACAATAAAGTGGTCGCCGGTCACCATTGCGGTTTCTTGGATCGACCGCAGGAACGCCGCGGCTTCGGTGCGCACGACGTTTCCGATCGTCGAGCCGAGCCAGAGAAAGGTCTTGGCTGCGGCTCGGGGCGCGTGGTCCCGGAGCCATGCGAGCGAGTCGTCGTACGTACCAAAGAGCCCGACGAACGAGATCGTCGGGTACTGCGACACGAGCGGCGCCAGCGCCTCCGTCAGCGACTCTTCGCTCACGTCGACGGCGTAGTAGGTCGTGTCGCGCTTTCCGGCGCGGACGATGGCGTCGAGAACGTGCGACGTCTTGCGCATGGAGCCGACGCCGAGCTCGATGAGGATGTCGCCGTCCTTGACGTGGGCGAGCATCGCGTCCGCGGACGACGCGAGGATGTCGATCTCGGCGTTCGTGAGGTAGTAGTCGTCGAGGTACGTGATTTGGTCGTAAATCTCGAGGCCGTGCGCGTCGTAGAGCACGAGCGACGGCACGTGGCGCACGGGCTTCTCGTCGCCGTGGCTCACCTTCTCGGCGAGTCCGTCGGCAATGACGTGGCAGAGGTCCGGCGCGCTCGCGGCTTGCTTGGCGCGAATGTCAATCACTTGCGGCGCCATGGTCGGTGGTGTTGTGGTGTGTGTTTACTGGAAAAATGAGGAATGAACCGAGGGCTCCACGGACCGAAGCCGACCCACTGGGATTGGTAGATGGCCGAAACAAGCGCCGTCCTGTTTACAACGGTTCGAGAAGCTACGTGCGAAGGACAAACAGCCGCAAGGAGGGTTAGGCGTGGCGTGGCCTCCCGGCGCCAAATCGCGCCAAGATCATGACACAGTGAAACCGCTGCGTTTGATTGGCTGGCAAAACCAGATGGCGTATTGCCGCTTGAAGCCGACTTCGCAGCGGCCCCAAAGCGGCGCTCGTACGACACACATGGCGTGGTACCTATCTCAAGGCGTCGCCAATCGGCGCCCGTGGGCCAGCCCCGTCATCGCCGCGACACAGCAATCCCAATTTTGTGGCTGATAGCCGCTGCATTCGGCGTTCGCGTGACGCGATCCATGGAATTCACGGCTGTCAAGTGACCAAGGTCCTACTGTAACCGCCGCGCATCTAGTTACGGTCGTCAAGTGACAGACTGGAAGCCAGTCAAGTGACCCTGAGCAACGTTTCACGGGGCCTCGTCACACCCACGCCTTGAGTCGTTGTCTCGTGTCGGCTTTCTTCGCGATTGCTGCTCTTTTCGATGCCAAATTGTGAACTGGGCGCTCGGTCATCGTTGCGACCGTGAACACGTGCGTCTGAAGCGACGCCAATAGCAATTTCAGTTGAGTTATAGACCACCATTCAATTGCGCTTCTTTCTGCACAACAGTGTCAAGACGGGCGCGGAAATGGCTACTGCGCTAGCGGTATGCTCGCTCTAGCTCTGTTGCCGGAGTTGGCGAGGTTCTACTGGGTTAGTGTGAGGGCTCTGAATGCCACAAAGATGTTTTTCAGGCAAAAGTTCCTGAAGTACCCCTAAAATCCAGCCTAAAACCGACCCTTTGAGTTTCGGCGAAGTCGTTTGGAACATGAGTTTCAGCTCCATCTTTTGCAGTGCTTGGTCAAAGGACGTACGCTATTATCAAGCAGTGTCGATAATTCGTCCTGGGTATTTCTGGCGCTGTTACCTCGAGCACAGTCGACTCGACCGTGAGGCGATGTAGGGACACCGGTCAGGAGCCCGTGTGACCAGTGGCCCGTGACGCGTGTCCTGGGTGACGTGCATTCCTGATTGACCAGCATTCCGTTTCCCTTTCTCGAGCGAAGTTGACGGGACAGCTTACGCTCCATGAGGACACGATGACACGGGACGATGGATCCATGACGCTTTCCATCACGCTCCAGCGCGCTGTGACGTCATGCAGCTGATCCGATCATGCGGGCGCGACTTCGCATTTCCGCGGAACGTGCTCCAGCCGCGCGAACTTGGCATTCATGACTGTCAACCAGTACTGCTCATTCGACTATACGAGACGCTGTGCGTGATTCCAAGGGGACTACACACATTTTAGATACCCGCGAGCAAGGTAGCGGGCATAGCGCCCGTGCATTGCGATCGCAGGTTGACGCGCTTCAGATGCGAATTTGAAGTTCTGAACCTGGGCGCGCATCCTATTTTTGGACCAGATACAAAGACGAGCGTCGTGGAGCGTCACGGTCCGCATTCACCGTCCGACGCGCGAGGCCCATGAACCTCGTGCTCGGCTCATTCTATATTTTGCTGACAATGGTTTCTGCGCTTCTTCATGACGACGCGATGGACCTCATCGCCAAGGGCCGGCTCACGACGGACGAATGGGACCGCATCCAGACGCTGCCGATCGCCGCCGAGGCCGTGACGCAGCTCGTGCACTTGGAGCTCGACGACATGATTGCCGACGCAATCGACGTGCAGCCGACTGACCAGACGCTGTCGTCCGACGTCAAAGTCGCTGTTGTCGGCGGCGCCTTGGGCTTTGTGAACGCGCTCTTGCGCCTCGACAGCACACCGCGGTCGCCAGAGCGCGACGAGGTTGGTTCCTCGTCTATGATGTCCATTCATCAGCTAGCGTAGGACAAGACGAGTCCCGTGATCGCTGCCATCTCGGGGCTCAAGGACGCAACGCTCGACTCGGCGTACAGCTGGATGGACATGAACCGCGCCGTTCGCCGCGTCAACTGGCTCAAGCTCGTGCCGTTTCACGGTGACGTGGCAACGTCCGAGCACATCGTTGTCACGATCGACGGTTTCATGTCCCACGGCCGCAACCCACGGGCCAATTGGGACGTCTTTTGCCAGTCGGACGGTACCGCAATGACGTCAGAGCGACAAATCTTGATTGTCGGTGCTAGCGGCATGTTATGCTGTCGAGTGGGAAGCGGGCAACGTCGGCGACATCATCGATTGCGTCGGACGTGTCTTGACCATCGACAGCTTGGCGTCGCAGATCACCAGTACGCTCCAAGTCCAACATGCCAGGTTGCATCACGATCACGTAGAGAACCCGTGGAACAGTGCGCAAAACAAGGCCCACCAAGTCGGCGCCGTCCTCGCCGAGCTCTTTCTCTCCAAGCCAGCGCTCTTTGCCCAGCGCAAGGTGACCGTTGTCGGCCACTCGCTCGGCGGCGCCGTCGTTGCCAGCCTTCTGGACCACTTGGCGAGCGGCAACGAAGCCGTGGCGCCCGAGGACCGCGTCTACCTCCACCAAGCGGTTCGTTCGTAGACGAGTTCATTTCTCAGATCTTAGCGTTTGGGTGTAGATGATGTTTGCTGCGGCGTTTGTGCCGCACCATGACTTTTCGCACGCCGCTGCGTATGTCTTTCCCGATACGTCGCCCGCGCGCATCGTCAACGTCTTCTCGACCAAAGACGCGGTGTTGAAGCACGTGTTCCGCCTCGGCTCGATCCACGTGTGGCCGTCGGCGGCCGGGTGCGTCGGGATTCAGTCGCCTTGGCTGCAAAGCGTCGACGTCACCGACATCGTGCCGGTGAGTCCGCTCACGCTCCTTGGCCATCTCTACGAAGCCCACATGGACGAAATACTCGATCGCTTGCGTCGGTCGAGTCTCTACGACTTGGACATTGTCTAAGTTGAACGAGTAGCTCGTTGTGCTTCAATAACGTTAATCATAATGCATATTCGCCATCGCTTGTAATCTCTATCAACGTCAATAGCTCTTGATGCGCTTGGAGCGTTTACATGTTTGCTGAGAGCGCCGTCGCCGTCACTGCGCCCGCCATCGCGTACATCTACTGGCGCTTTGGCCGCAACGAGCCATTCCTGCACGGCGTACCGTTTCCGGCGTCTCTGCACCAGCCTTTCTTGGGTGTCGCCGGGCTCCTCGGCTCGATCAATGGCTGCGACCGCCTCTTCGCCGACGCCGCGGACGCCAACGGCATGGTGTCGTTCCGGCTCCTTACGACCAACGCCGTCTCGGTGCTCAAAGCAGACCACGTGCGTCAGGTGGTGTGTGCGACGAGCTACCGCGAAATGGTCCCGATTCTCGGGAATCACTTGCGCAAGCTGCTCGGCGATGCGTCGCTTCTGCTGCTATCGCGCCACGAGTGGAAAAGCCATCGGCGGCTCGTTGCCAAGGCCTTTCACTGGCAGAGCCTGGCGCAAATGGTGCCGACGATGGTCGAAGTCGCCGAGGCGTTCGTCGACGTCGCGCTGCAGACAGGCAGCGGTGCGTCCGTGGATGTAGCGCCACTACTCAAGCTCGCGGCTCTCGATACGATCGGTCAGTGCGCATTCGGCTACGATTTCGAAGCGCTGGCCAATGGCAAGAATGGCGTCACGTCCGCCTTTGAGTTTCTTTTGAACGAAGCCAAGCGCCGGGGCTTTGACGACACTCTGCACCCGGCGAGTGTATGGTACGATCTCCCGACACCGGCCAACCGCCGGTACAAGCGTGAAGCTCGCATCTTGCGCTCGACGCTCGAGATGATCGTTGTCGCTCGCATGTCGGATATTGCGACGACCAAGCACGACTTGTTGGGATCACTTCTCGCTGCGGCCGCCGACGAATCCAGCGTCGTGACGCCGGCGACGCTGGCTGACAACCTCCTCACCTTCCTCTTTGCGGGCTTTGACACAGTCGCAACTGCCCTGGCGTACGCCATGCACCTCCTCTCGACGCACCCGGACGTGCAGGAGTAAGCGCTGGCTGAGGTCGAAGCCGTCGTTGGCCGCCACGAACCTATCACCTACGAGTCGATCGGCCGCCTGCCATACGTATACGCAGTCATGACCGAGGCATTGCGACTCTTTCCTCCAGGACCTGGGACAAGCCGGACCTTGGAGGCCGATCTGGTCCTTGACGGCCATACGATCCCCGCGGGCACGTTAGTCTACTTGCCAATCTGGGAAATCAACCGTTCGCGCCTCAACTGGGGCGACGACGCCGATGCCTTTCGGCCCGAGCGCCACGTTGAAGGAGCGAGCGACGAGATTTGCTCCGACCGCACCTTTCGCATGATGTCCTTCTCTGCCGGACCGCGCAACTGCGTCGGCATGCGCTTTGCGATGCTTGAGGCCGTTGTCATGCTGGCTACGATGCTGCGTCGATGCTGGCTGACGCGCCCGTCGGACGCACCGCCGGTCACGCCCAAGATCTCGGGCATTCTACAAGTGCCGGCCCACGGGGTCTGGGTCCGTGTCACGCCATTGCCTCCTTGCGCGTAAGGTGGACGCCATTGTTGTCGATGCTTGCTACATTCAAAAATGATGATCTTGGATGTCCTCGAGTTGGCATTTTCGCTTTCGCCCACCGAAGGCAAGGTCGATGTCGTGTGCGCACCACCTCGAGTCGCTGGAGCTGCATGTTGCGCCCTGCCTTGGAGTAGCTCGACGTATATCTGGAGGAGCCAGCGCGTCGTCCATCAACGAGGCGTCGTAAGGGCAGCAACCGGCCATCACAACCCGTGGCCGCCTGCACCGTGATGCAGCCATCTTAAGATTTGCATCGCAACAGCCAATCAAATGCGATTGTTTTGTCCATGTCCTGATTCGCGCGTGCTGATTGGTGTAGATGCAGCCAATCCGCGCTAAGAAGAGATTTGGGCTGGATTCACCAGCTTTATCACAGCTGCCAGTCCTGCGCTGCCGAGCTTCGACCACACCGATGGCCGACCTCATCGAGAGCGCGTCGACCGGCGCCTGCCTCTTCACGCTAGCGCTTGTCTGGACCTACAACCGCTTTGGCCGCAACATGCCGTTTGTCGCGGGCCTCGCATTTCCGCACTATGCTCCACACGCCCTTCCTCGGCGTCGCCATGCATTGGTGCCCTTCAAGGCAGCGAGCGTATCTTTGTCGACGCGGCCAACGACGACGGCTTGGTCTCCTGCAGGCTCGCGACGATGCCGGTCGTTGGCGTCCTCAAAGCTGAGCACGTGCGCGCGGTCACGTGCGCATCGAGCTACCGCAAGCCGACGCCGCTCCTCGACACGTACTCGCGCAGCTTCCTCGGCGACAAGTCCTTGACGTCGCTCGCGCAGAATGGAAAGCGCATCGATGCCTCGTCGCCCGTGCGTTCCACTGGAAGTACCTCGCCGAGATGCTCCCGGCCATGGCCAGCGTGGCCGCCGAAGCCACGGCAAAGCTCCTCACTGGCGCGTAACTCGACGTCCACCACGTTATGCAGCTGTCAGCGCTCGACATGATCACGCTCACGGCGTTTGGCGTTGACATCTACGCGCTCCGCGACAACATGCATCCGATTGGCAAATCTTTTTGCTTTTTGCTCGGCGAAGTCTCGCGTCGGACGTTCGAGGCGCCGCTGCAGCCAGCGAGCTTCCGACGGCGACCAACCGCCGGTACCACCGAGAAGCGGCAATTGTCCACAATACGCTCAACAAAATCATCACAGAGCGCGGTGCAAATCCCGGTGGCGCGCACCCGGACCTCCTCCAGGCGTTGCTGGATGCCTCTGCGTCCGAGACGGACCCGATCGCACCCGAGATGCTCATTGACAACGTGGTCATGTTCTTCTTCGGCGGCTACGACACGACGAGCACGGGCATGGGTTACACGCTGTGCCTTCTCGCCGCGTACCCCGACGTCCAAGCCAAGGCGGTCGCCGAGATCGACGCGGTCGTCGGACGAGATGGCAAGATCAAGTACGAGGTGCTGCAGAACCTGCCGTACCTCAACGCCGTGCTCACCGAGTCGTTGCGCCTCTTTCCACCGCTCCCCGCGACGATGCGTAACCTCGAGACCGATCTCGATATCGGTGGCTACACGGTCGCAGCCGAGACGACGGTGTTTCTCTCGATATGGTGCATCAATTGGTCGCGGCTCAACTGGGGCAACGACGTCCTCGAGTTCAAGCCCGAGTGCCACCTGACGACGGACGCCAACGACGAGCAAATGAGTGCAAAGGACCGGGCGTATCGCTTCATGACCTTTTCGGGCGGCCCGCGCAACTGCGTTGGCATGCGCTTTGCCACGCTCGAGTCGACGTGCATGCTCGTATCGATCCTCCAGCAGTGCGTTCTGACGCGCCCCAAGGACGCACCGCCGATCCAGCCCAAGCTCGTTGGCATCGTGCAAAAGCCAGAGCTCGGTGTCTGGCTGCACGTTGCACCTCGCCCCACGCCGCGTTATGCCTAACTTGTTAATCGATTCGTACTAAGTCCTGAGCGAGGTGGGCTGGCAGAAGCTTGAACCGCCAAAGTGCAAAGTAAAAACCATTCGGGCGATTCAAGTGGAGCACTCGGATTGGCCAATTCAAAGCCATGGCTCAAAATGCACCAATCCACGCTCAGGAAGGGCGCCGATTTCAGTGGGCTGGATCTCGCCAGTCGCCAATCACCTTGCACTGGAATGGACCGGGACAGCAGCACCGCGGACACGGTCCGCGAGCCGTACGAGCGCGTGACGGTCGAGAACCTCCGGAAGGAGGTCGCGCGGCGAAAGCTCAAGCTCATCAAGCGGGGTCCGGACTCGAACAACACGAAGGACTGTCTCGTTCAGCTGCTGCGCGACAACGACCGTGGCATCGAGCAGCAGGTTGTCGCCTATCGCCCGCGACCGAGCGACGACGCCGGCCGCAACCCGGTGCCGCGCATTGCCGCCGCCGTTAGCGTGCAAAGCGACCAGTTCCGACCCGTGCCGCCGGCGCCGATACTGCTGCCGATCCCCGTCTTTTCCAACGCGCCATCGCCGATGATTCGGCCGCGGGCGCAGGCGCCTCCGTTGGCGCCATGCAATCAACCGTCAAATGCTCCGCTGCCGTCAGCGGTGGCAGCCCCGGCGCCGCGACCAACTACGACGACGCCCGCGCCACGTCCGGCGTCGACCAGTCGCGCACCGCACTCGAGCGTCGACTATTCGATGGCCGAGGTCATGACGTCTCTCCTCAAACGGCGGCGGTCGGACGAGACAGACGAAGAGCAGTTGGACCACGCCATCAAGTCGCTCGATATGATCTCGCGGGCTCTGATGAGCGTGAATGCAGTGATCGCGAACCTCCGCGACGAGCTCGTGCACACAACTGAGCCCAGCGACGAGCACGAGTGCATGGCTGCGACGCTCGGCCACTTTAAGCGCGTGCGCATGGAGTTCCTGAAAGAAACACAGCACTTTACGTGGGTGTCCACGCACGCGATGACCAACCCACAGCCTCCAAACCGGCCGCTGGCCAACAATGCGCAACCACCAGCATCGGCGCCGCGGACGTCTCCGTCGTAATTTAGCTGCCTACGCTTTCGTTGACGGTCGTCCCTTATAATTAATGAAGCACTTGTCCAGACAACGTTGGCACACCGCGCAGATCCCAGGCTAACGAAGCAGTCGCCCAACTCCTTCTCACCGCCTCCATAGATCGAAATTTTACCGCCTTGCAGAGCAGTATCTTCAATTTATTGGGTGAGGCGGCGAACGGCTCGGGCCTCGCTGCCGAGCTTCGCGCCACACCATCTCGACCAAAAAGCTCTTGTCATTGCATCAACTTGAAGTCCACCAAGATTTTAGAATGCAAAATAAGAACCGGGAACCAGGGGGAAGGATGCGGAAGAAAGTGATCGATTCGCCAAGCATTTCGACACAATTTCGAATCGATTCATCGAGAATTCTGGTCGCTACCACGTCCGATGGACTGGTCCACATCCATCGTCACTGGCGTCGTCCAGGCGCGCTCTTTCTGACTTCTGGCCAACGCCACACGTGAATCAAGCTTTTTCTAAGCGATTAGAAATGGGTTCTTAAATAAGGTGCACGGCGGCGTCGCCCTGCGTCTTTCAAAGAGATGAAGCAGCAACAGTCACTCGCAGCAGTATCGACAAATGCGGGACGACGATGATGGCGGCCAATGTCGCCACTACGTTATTCGAGGCATATTTGAACGGCCACAGTATTTTATGACGACTGTGTTGATCGTCTGTCCTGTGGACGAAGGTATGATGCTGATGCTACTGCTTGTCCAAGGTTGGACAGGGATTTGTCTATTACTTCTAAAAGATCCGGCGGCGCGTGTATGCCCGCGGCTGCGGCGTCGTCAACGTACACAGGAAAGAGGTACGGAGGCCACCCATCGTACAGTCCCAGTGTAATCACACCACTGTCCGCTCTGCCGTCGCTTATGCTACAAATCGTCGCTTGTTCTTTGAGATGAAATCTATGCCATTCGAGATTTGCTCGGCCTCGAACCTCAGCCTCGACCTCGCAGCTCCACATGCAGTGACCAATCTGGTCATTTGCTTTTTAACTTGCTTTGTTAAATTGATATTCATTACAATCGTATTTCGCCTGCGACACGCATCTGCTCTCTGCATAAAACCGAATTCAGTCGAATTCTGCCAAAAAGGGGTACAACCGATCATGCACCACCACGTTCCAGGCACACAGCCCGGCATTCTACGATGCGAATCACAGCAAAAGCAGAAGACATAGCAGCTCATAGGTCGACATGATCTCTTGGTCGTACAGGATCCCGTGGTCCTGCTGTGCTTGCTTGCCACAAGGGCGTCGAGCGAAGGATGTGCAAATACCGTTTCTGTCACAAATTTCCGACTTTGTCATTTTCAAAAAAGCCATTTGGGTTGGCGGATTGCCTGCCATTTGCGAGATTCCTGCCTCGTGCCCAGCCCAAGCCACCGAGTTCCCCGTCCATGGCGTGTAGTGACAATGAATACCTGACGCCAAGCTGCAACCCGGAAGAGTTCTACATTGCACTCTGCACGGTCATCGGCCTCATCTGCCTAGCCGGCATGATGGCCGGGCTCACCATGGGCCTCCTCTCGCTCGATAAGCTCAACCTCCAGATCCTCGAGCTCCAGGGCTCGGAGGTCGAGAAGCAGCGCGCGACGAAGCTGCTCCCGATCATCCAGCGCCACCACTTGCTGCTCGTGACGCTTCTCCTCTTCAACGCCGCTGCCAACGAAGCCTTGCCCATCTTCCTCAACCGCCTCGTGCCCGAAGCGCAAGCGGTCGTCATCTCGGTCACATGTGTCCTCTTCTTTGGCGAAATCATTCCGTCGGCGCTCTTCACGGGCAAGGCGCAGCTCACGATCGCGGCTGCGCTCGTACCGCTCGTCCGTCTCTTGACGCTGATTGCGTACCCGATCGCGTGGCCCATCTCCAAGGCGCTCGACTTTTTGCTTGGCGAAGACCACGACAGCACGCGCTACAAGCGTAAGGAGCTCAAGGCGCTCGTCGCGCTCCAGAACAACTCACCGCCTTTCAAGGTGCCGTCGCAGTCGAAGCTCCAGTCGTACAAGGACATTCTGGCGCGTGCCAACTATGGCACCTCGTCGCCGACCACGATCGGGGGGCTCCCGACGCTCCGTAGCGCGTCGTCGTCGGACGATGCCTCGTCGTCCGAGGCCATGTTGACGCCGGCGCACTCCGTGCGCACGCCACTCTACTCGGTCACGGGCACCAACTTGCACAATGACGAGGTGGCCATCATCCACGGCGCGCTCGACATGTCGACCAAGACGGTGCAGATGGTCATGACGCCGTTTGACCAAGTGTATATGCTCAATGTGGACATTTTGCTCAACTTTGACGTGATGACAGACATTTTGGCGAGCGGCTATAGTCGCATTCCGGTCTACAAGAACCATCGTACCAACATTGTCGGCATTTTGCTCGTGAAGCGCCTCATTGTGCTGAGCCCCGACGACCTCAAGCCGCTCAAGGACCTCATGCTGCGCCGCCCGAACCTCGTGACGCCCGACCACTCGTGCTACTCGATTCTGAACGTGTTTCAAGAAGGCCGCTGCCACATTGCGCTCGTGACGCCGCAAAAGGAAATTGTGCAGCAGTGCTGGGCGACCGGCCAAGACATTGACCCGGACGTGGTGACCATCTCGGGCGTCGTGACGATCGAAGACATTTTGGAAGAGATCATCATGGAGGAGATTGCCGATGAGAGCGACGTGTCGGTCAACCAGCTCGGGTCCAACCCGGAGCAACATGCGACGCTCCTGCGCCAGCGCGGCGTGCTCCGTGCGATCAACAAGTTCAAGGAGCTCGGTGCGCGCGCCAAGATGCGTCGAGGGCCGCCCAAGAACGGTAGCGTCGAGGTCGACCCGTCCGCGCTGCTGGTGTGCGTCGACTTGACGACGAACGAAGTGACGCCCCTCCTCGCCGCTTAAGTTGTTGCGTACCGATGTATTAATAGCTAGGTTCTAGAATACATCTGGTTGCACTTTGCTTCAACAACGTGTTTCGTGCTGCCACGTCACGGTTGCGATCTTACAGCGAGCCGTTGCAGGATCTTTTTGCCAACCGGCGCGACCGAAGCGATGCCCGAGCACGACGGCGGCGACTACTGCGGCCGCGAGTACCTCACGCCGAGTTGCGACCCGTACGCGTTCTGGCTGGGCACGGGCGTTGTGCTTGCGCTCATCTGCCTCGCGGGTCTCATGGCCGGGCTTACGATGGGCCTCCTCTCGCTCGACCTCCTCAACCTCCAGATCCTCCAGCTCGAGGGGTCGCCGGAAGAAAAGGTCCGGGCGGGCCGCGTCTTGCCCGTGATCCAGCGCCACCACTTGCTTCTCGTCTCGCTCCTTCTCTTTAACGCCGCCGCCAACGAAGCACTACCCATCTTCCTCGCGCGGCTCATGCCCGAAGCGCAAGCGGTCGTCGTCTCGGTCACGTGCGTCCTTCTCTTTGGCGAGATCCTCCCCTCCGCCATCTTTACCGGGAAAGGGCAGCTCGCGATCGCGTCGTTCCTCATGCCGGTCGTTCAATTGCTCATGCTTTTAGCGTCGCCAATCGCCTACCCGATCTCAAAAGTGCTCGACTGCCTCCTTGGCAAAGACCACAACGGCACACGCTACAAGCGCCGGGAGCTCAAGGCGCTCATCACGCTACAGCAGCAGACGCACCCGTGGCCGCTCGCACCGCACCTCCAGCGCCGTCTAAGCCAAATCGGCAACATGACGTCGTCGTCGCCAAGCAGCAACCACGGATATGGCACGCATTTGCATACGGACGAAGTCACGATCATCCACGGCGCGTTGGACCTCACGGCCAAGACGGTCGTCGACGTCATGATTCCGTGGACCGACGTCTTCAAGCTCGACGAAGAGACGCTATTGAATGCCAACACGCTGGCTGAGATCCTGGCGTCCGGCCACAGCCGGATCCCTGTCTACCGCGGCGACCCGATGAACATTGTGGGCCTCCTCCTCGTGAAGCGGCTCATCGTGCTCGACCCCGCCGACGCGCGACCGATCAAGGACCTCATGCTCAAGAAGCCAATGGTCATCTCGCCGAGCTACTCGTGCTACGCGCTTCTGAATGAGTTTCAAAAAGGCCGGTCGCACATGGCGCTCGTGACCGACGACGTCGAGCACGTTCAGTTTTGCTGGATCGCCAACCACGACCTCAGCAGCGACGTGCGCTTCATTGGCATTGTCACGATTGAAGACGTTGTCGAAGAGCTCATCCAAGAAGAGATTGAAGACGAAGCCGACCTCGGCAAGACGCTCTCGCACTCGTCGCGCCACTTGATCGAGACGCGCGAGGTCGGCGTCATGCGCTGCGTCGCCAAACTCAAAATGCTTGCTGGCCGCGCACGCCGGCGTGTGTACCAGCGCTACCACAACTCGCCTCGGCGAAAGTCGTCGAGCGCCAATAGCCCGAGCGGATTTTGGTCGCCCGGGAAAGCGACCGCCTTTTCAGCGACCGAACGCACGCCGCTGCTCGTCTCGGTCAAAGTGGACGGCACGAGCTCGCCGAGAATCTCGGACGTGTAGTCATGTTATATCGGCGTCGTTGCTCGTACACGTATCCTAAACAAGTTATTTCATGTAATACGATGCGTCGATATATATACTAGTAGAACCTAGATCTGGCATCTGCACACGCACTCGTAGCAAACACCCCTCGAAAGCGGCGCTGTCGATGGCGTTGGCGCGCCGATATTTGCGGTCACTTGACCAACGTTGGTATCCGGATCCTTATCCGGGAACAACGACGTGCCCGTGGTGACTCGACGTGGGGTTGGGACACCTTATCTAGTAGTCGTACATGCCCGATAGGGAATGAAGGCAAAGCGTGCACACCACGAACCGCGAACAGAGCCTTGGTGACGTTGTCGTTGGAGCGTGCCGATACCCGCGGTCACTTGACCTCCGATGCAAAATGAAAGCTTATCCGGAAGATACAATGCACTTGGTGATGCCACGTCGATTTCTTAGTTAGTCTATGTGCAGTTACGCTGCAATGTGGTGCCGGGGCACTGGAAGGTACATGCCCATGTACGTGGCGCGGTCTTCGAGGAGCCGTAGCGGGACCGCGATCTTCCCGAGCGAGAATGCGTACTTGTGCTTGCTGCTCTTGGGCGGAAACGTGTGCGGCGAGAGCGCCATGAGCACCACGTCGTGCTTGGTGAGCGACGACAACGCCGAGCCGGGCCACACATGCACAGAGATGGACGCATCGTCGAGGTAGTCGACGAGGATCGCGGGCAGCTGTCGCAATTGCAGCTCGAGGCCCACCGTGTAGCGATGGTGGCCGTCCAAGATCGCGCCGGTTTGGCGGTCCACAAGGAGCGGTTCGAGGTACCCGCCCCATGCAAGCGTCGCCGCTGTGAGGCTCTCGATCTTGTCCCGGCTTACAATGGCTTCGTGGGGCTTGAGCCATTCGATCTTGACGAGGTGGATGCCCGGTCCCGCGCTCAAGCACAAATGGTGCTGCGGCGGCTTCATCGTCAAGCGCCCGTAGAGCGATTGGTCCTCTAGCATATACCGTATCTAGCCCACGTGGATGCTGGCGTATGAATGTACGCACCCGTGGGGCACAGCGGGCACGGGCCCGGGGACCCGCTGTGGTCGCATTGGACGGGAAGGTACTTCATCCTTGGGCGCAGGAGTTTCGGAGTGTGGCCCTTCGTGGCCGCTGGGAAGCGCAACGTTCGAATCGAAGGACAACATTTGTAAGGGTTACACAAAATTGACTAGGCTAGAACGGGCTTGGCTCGGCGCGCGGCGGGCGCGACGACGCTAGCTGCCGGCACCTCGGGCAGCGCCGCCACGAGGACATCGTCTAGCTCGGAATGAGATGCACAGTGCAGATGACATGACATGCTACCTGGCGCGATCGGCAGTTGCGCTTCCAAAGCCGCGGTTTCGGCGGCTTCGATCTCGGCCAACTCGGCCAACACCGCGTCTTCATCCTGGGTCGAGAGCGCACCACCAAGAATGCGGCTGATCTCCTATGACATGTACAGCACGATGAGCGACGGTACGATTAGGAGCGGAAGGCAGACGTCCGCATGTGCCTGGGCCTCTTGCGTCTCGAGCATGAGATCCTCGACCGCTTCGATCGTCATTTCCTTGTGAATCGCATCAAGCACCGAGTTGCCGGCCTTGAGACCTTCAAAGATCTATGGAGCAAGGTGTTGGACGTGGAGGGTTGTGACGCTGCAACGACCTGGAGCTGCTGGCTTTCCCACTCGACGCTGCCGATCATTTGGTGCACGTTGAGCAAATGCGTATCGGCCTGCTCGATCTGCTGGAGCTTGAACTTGCGCATCTTGAGGCACAGCATCGCGCGGTCCTTCTGCTTTTTGGCGAGGAGCTGGCGGGCCTTGGACTCGAGCGTCGCACTCTCGGCCTCGAGCGCCTTCTGGTACTTCTTGAGGCGGTCGCGCGACGCCTTGAGCTCGAGCATCGCCTTGTCCTTCGAAGAGACCTGCTGCTGCGCCTTGGCGCGGTTGGCGGCGTGGCGCTCCGCGGCCGCGTTCGTCGCCGGCGCCGGCGTCTTCTTCGAGAACACCCCGCCCATCGCGTTTGATGCTCAAAAATTAAAAATGTTGAAATTCAGTTTGAAAAGTCAGCCACCACGGGGTCCTACCCATTTTAGATCGGTCCCCACCGACATGGTTGCAGCTGAATTGCAGACAAAGCATTGCATCAAGTGCATGAAGGTACCACCTTTGAGCTTATATCATGCATACTCATGCCCTGCACGAGACGCGCATCCCGCGCTGAGGCCGCTATATCTCGCCGACGCCACCTTGGTCCCCCACCGGGTCCCACTAAAAAAGCCAGACGACGGCCAATTGAACGATGACGTGGACAGCGTCCGCAGTCACCGCAGGCTATGTGACGCGTAGCAAGCTATAATGGACATGCATGGTAGCTCGGGCGCAGACGCTAGCATGGCTCGGGATGACAGGAAGCAGCGCTGCAGGAAGACTTTTCTAACATCTCGGTTTACCAAGTAGGGGGTCGTACAAAATAAAATGATGCTACATTTCACAACAATAAAAAACATCGGCCGTCATTGCAGCGAGATTGTGCGTGGCAGGATGGCAGACAACGACGACGAGGCGAGGCTGCTTGCGACCGCGCCGTACTACGAGTCGTGGCACGGCAACCAAGACTTCTACCGACGCGGCGCCGTCGTCGTGAGCAAGACGCAGTGGAAGAACTGTGTCGGGACCGTCCTCTTCATCACGTCCGTCATCGGTCTCTACATCTACGTCGTGTCCGTCGCCGCCTCCATCGCCATGGCTCACGATGCATGCGTTGCGAACCTATAGGATGGTCACGTCGCTGCCGCTTGCGTACATCGGCATCACGATCCCAGGCTACATCAACGCGCTCTACTGGTTTGCCAGGACGGCCTTTATGGACCCTGGTACGTCGCCCGCGCCATGACGCCAAAGCCTCACATGCGACTCGTAGGCTTTGTGCCCAAGCGCTACGAGCAACAGCGGGATGGGCCGTCGACCGCGAACGACGGCGAGGCCGACCGGTTCTGCGCGTTTTGCGAAGTACGTCGACAGGACAACTCTTGTGCCATATTGAGACACGGTTTCTGCAGGTGCCCAAGCCGCCACGCCGAAGCCACTGCCGCGTCTGCAACTGCTGCGTCGACCAGTTTGATCACCAGTACGTTCTCTCTTCTTGTTGCTATCCAAAGAGCTTATTTGATGCTCATTTAGCTGCCCGTGGTACGCTTGCTCTTCATATTGAGAGCGTCCTGCACCGACGCATGCCAATATTAGGACGGGCAACTGCGTCGGGAAGCGCAACCACCGCGTCTTTCTAGCCTTTTTACTCGCTCTCGTCGTCCTCGATCTGTACGTTGACATCCATCCCTTGCATTGGACTGAGATGGATAGCTTTATGTTTGGGACCCTCGTGGCCTTTACGATCCAGTTTGCCTTTCTCGAAGGCCATGGGCTCCGCGCCTGTACACTTTATCCAAGTACTATCCAAGTATCCAACTTATCTGTATAGTTATGGATCGCTTCTGGCTCGTGCCCGTGGCGCTGTACGCTACCGGCAGTACGCTCTGCCTCCTCGGCGCGTTCCTTGCCTACCATATCCAGCTCATCTCCAAGAACATGACGACGAACGAACTCATTCGTGCACGGACCGCACAAGCGCTCTCGACCATCAACGCGACGCATGGAACCGACGACGACGACGACCGCCGGCGACGGCCGTCGGCGTACGCCAACTGGCGGGCCCATTGGCACCGGTTCCTGACGGCGCCGACGCCTCCGAGGTACTACACATTCCTCTCTCCTCTTCTCTACTCATGCCCAACCCGTTCGCAGCAAAGTCCTCGAATCACAGACGACCGCCGCACCGTCCATAGTCATTGTATGATCAAAATCAACATGGACCACTCTACTGCATCCACGTACCTACTGCGACGACGACGACGTGAGCGCGACGGCGGCTTCAAAGAGCGCAACGGCGTCGAGCGGGTCTTCGGGGAAGAGCGGGTTGTACGTTGCAGGTACAAAATGGTACTCGAGCGGCAATGACGCGTTCGGCGTGTTCCACGGCGTGATGGCGACCATCGCAAAGCCAAAGGCCGCGCCGGTCGTCATCGGCTGCGGCACGAGCGGGTGCTTCTCGAGGCCCATGTTGAGCGCGTCAATGTAGACTGCAATCTACCACTATGATCTTAGTTCTGAAGACCAAGTGCAACGCACCGAGTTGTAGACTTGGCCGCCCGGAAATGAAAAGAACTGCTGCTCGTTCCCGAGGTACCCGCCAAAGGCGACCGTCTGCGCGAGGTCGTGCATCTGGATGAAGCTCGAGAAGACCGAGCACGTGCTGCCGCAGTAGCCGTGCGAGACCAAGATGACGTCTTCTTTCGAGAGACCGGCAAAGCTTGTGCCGGGCGCTTGGAACAGCGCGTCGTAGCCCGAGCAGCCGTAGTACACGCCTTGGCTCACGTTGCCGAGCGTCGGGTGCGTATTGCGAACCTAGCATGCGCGCACTGGCGTCGTGTCTCATGATTGCTCGCCGTACCTGCGACGTCATCCACGATGCGTTGCGGTACTGGCGCTTGGTGTCGGCGCTAAACCACTGGTTGGGCACCCACTCCGAGTGCGCGAGCTCGGGGTTCGTGTGCGAGATGCGCTCGCCCTGCTCGGCAAGCATCTCAAACAGCGGCGTTTGCTTGAGGTGGTAGATGGCCCGGTTGTGCGGCCCGACGCCCTCGAGCGGTCCGAGCGGGTCGAGGTTCGGGAAGAGGTACCGGATCGTCGCGTACCCGAGGCAGATGTCGCCGCCGCCGTTGCCGCGCAGATCCAGCACGAGCTTTTTCCCGCCCTGGAGCGAAAACTCGGCGAGCGCAAGCGTAATGTTGAGGCCAAACGTGGCGGTCCAGAGGTTCGCATCTTGGTCGCCCGACGGCGAAAACTGCGTGATGCTCAAGACACCGACGTCGTCGTTGAGCCACGCAAAGTCCACCGACGGCTTCTCGTCCACAAAGTTGTGGTGCGTCAAGTGGCGCTTGAGCCGCTCAAAGAGGTGCTCGAGCTTGCGCGTCGTGAGCGTCGGCGGCGCGCGCCCAGGAAACGCCGCGCCGTTGAGACCGACCCAGTTGTACGTCACCGTCTTCGACTCGCCCGTCGTTGGGTGCGTAAGCGTGTAGCTCACGTTCTTCTCGGTTGGGATGTCGAACGTCGAGAGCGGACGAAACACAAACCAGCCACGGCCTAATCATCCAAAAGTATCAGTGTATCAGTGTATCATTCACGAGGCAGAAGGTACCGGTCTCGAAGCCCGTGACGGCCATGTTGAAGCGCGTGCCATCGTCCTTGAGGAGCCCAATCTCGTGGTTGGCAAAGTCGCGAAGCGCGTCGATCGCTGGCTGGCCGTTGATGTGCGTAATGTCCCAGCCAAGGACGTCGTTGTCCCGGATGGCGTCGTCGTCCGGGAAGAAGGTCTTGTAGACCTTGACTTCGTTGTGGTCCGGCGTGTCAAACTGCAGCACCTGCGAGTTGTTGCGGCCAAAGCTCTTGAGGCTCACGGGGTGGAAAACGTAGAACGACGAGTAGAACGCGGGCTTGAGGTACGACGTGTGCGCGTCACGGAGGTGTTTGAACACGGTGTAGAGCGCGCCCTGGAACGCCGCGTCGTTGGCGTACGTCGTGTTGGCCACGATCGCCAGCTCCGCGTCCAAGTCCACGGCGGGGATTGTGTACGGCCCGAACGGATGCGCGCTCTTGGCGAGGTCCTTGAACGCATAGCTCGGCAACTAACTTGGCATCAGACAACCTCGCGATGTGACGAGCACGTACGATTGTGCGGAGGTGCGCAATGGCCGCGTCGCGGTCGGACGCGTTGAACGGGATGGCAGTGATGCACGCCTTGAGCTGCGCCAGCGTCAAGAAGCGGTGGTCTTCGCACACGTTCGTCGAGGTTGGCTCGAGACCCTTGAGGAGGATCGGGCCCGGGCGCGACGCCTGGAGCAGGCCAAAGATGGCGCAGGCGCCTGCAAAGAGGGCCAGCGCGTGCTGGAGGCGCCACGGCTTGGCCGGCGCCGACTTGCGCGGAACGTTGATCAAGCGCAGCGACTCGGACATGACCAATGCAAAACTGACGTTCGAACGAGCACAAGTGGGTTGTACATGCATTCTTGTACACTCGCTTTTTGTAGCGCATAGTAAAATCGAGTTTGTTTGTCGGGCGTTTTGTATGGGTTTTATTATACAGTAGTGAAGTCAATACGTTGGTCTAGACAGGCGCCATAGTCAATCGAAGATCTGGGGTGAGCGGTCACGAGCGGCCGAAGTGCAAGGTGGGTGACATCACCTGATCGACTAAACCACCGACTGAGCCTGGACGACAATGAAGCATAGAGCTTGCAACGCATCGAATGTTCCTACTAACTACGGCGTGTTGGCAAAACGTGTCAGCTTGCGAAGCAGCTTCAAGGACGAGGGTACTTCAAGTCCGACGGTGGGATCCGCGACGTTCCGACCTTCGATAAAGAAGACGCCAAGCTTCGAATCGCATCCACGTGCCAAGCTCCAGTGGGACTCACGCAGCAAAGTGGCGCCGCGACCTCGGTCAGCACGTGGTTGCTCCGGAGCCGACGCAAGTGCGGCTTGCTCCAGCCCACAGGTGACAACCCTACGCCGTGTCAAGCCTCTTGCACGACCACGGGACCTGAGAATTACGAAAGGGCAACATGACGAGCTATCGGTGGCATCATGGTCGACTTGGAGCGCAGTGGCAGGTGGTGCCAGACCCATGGGGCAGTCGCTTGCAAGCAACCAGCTAACCCAACAGCGCACGAGGCGGACGAGGAAGCACTGGTCAAGATCGGACATGCACTTTTCATTAAATACGATAAATAGACGTCCGTTCAATATCGCCGCCGGAGATCGTCCCACTCGAGCAGAGCTTGGAGGACCGTGAGGACGTCCTGGGCGACGACCGTGCCAAACTCGATCGCTTCGAGCGACGGGTACTGGGCCAAAACGCCTTGGAGGTTCGCCATGTGGCAAAGCCGCTGGAGCATTTCTGCTGGCATTGGGAGCCCCAATACGTTGGACGCCAGCAGTTCTTGGTATTCGGGCCGCTCGCGCAGCAAGATGAGCTGCCCCGGACCCGTCTACGCATCTCGTGAGCGCCACATACGCAGAAGCGGGAGGTTCTCGTACCATGTTGGGAAAGAAGCGGACTTCGAGCTTGGCGTCGCAGAGCACCTCGTTCATGATGAAGAGACCTTTCGCCACGACTTGGCTCGGGTCCATCGCGACGTGGTGGTTCAAGTTGCGTAGCTGCGTCGACCACGTGCGGGAGAGTGGCAGGAACTGCGCAATGTTGCGCATGAGCGGCTTGGGAAGCCCAAACGCGCGCACGAGCCAGCTGCCGTACGAGGTGGCGGCAGCCGTTCGCCGCGGCAGAAGCTGCGCGCGGTTGAGAAGGTACAGCGTGCACATCTTCATGAGCATGTAGTTGCGCAGCATGCGCAGTCGGTACTTCATCAGCCGTTGCTGGTTCTACACACAAATGCATCCTTGAGCACACAGCCCGCAGCCATCTCCAGACGTACGTCGATGGTCAGAATGCGAATGAGTTCTTCGTTGCCGCGGCGCGACGCATTGTCCAGCGCCGTCTTGTCCCGCTCGTCCTTGAGAAACATATCGGCGCCAGAGCTGAGCAGCGCGACAATGGCCTTGGCGTGGCCGCGCTTGGCCGCGAGGAGCAGCGCCGTACTGCCTTGCCGCTAAGATCGTGGACAATGAGCGGCGCGATGAAGGAAAGGGGCTGCGTACCGTTTGCTTGTCGACAATGGCGCCCGCATGGATCAAAATGTCGGCAATATCGGCGTGTCCCCGCTGCGAGGCGAGCATGAGCGCCGTCATGCCTTCCATCTATCACATGCATAAGTTCAGTCAACGTTGCATGGATGACGCGTCGTACGTTTGATGCGTTCGCGTCGGCGCGGTTCCGGAGAAGCGCCTGCACGACTGCGCCTTGGCCTTCTTGAGCAGCGCGCATGAGAGGGGTTGTACCCTTTTGGTTGGCGTAGTTGGGATCGGCGCCGGACCGGAGCAAGAGGTGAACGACGTCCAAGTGGCCAAAGTGCGCTGCGGGAACGAGGGCGGCGCTGCGCGATTCCGAGGACGCGCCGGCATTGAGAAGGCACTGCGAGATCTCCATCAGGCCTTTCTGCGCCGCCAACAGCAATGCCGAGTTCTTCTTGTCGTTGACTTCGTTGACGTCGACGCAGTGCGAGATCAAGAGCCGGCAGACGTCGAGGCTCGTGTACTTGACTGCGCTCATGAGGAGCGTAAAGCCGACTTCGTCCTTTGCGGCGAGGAGTGTCTGCTTGCCTTTCGGCGTCTGCTGGTTGAAGAGCGCTACAAAGTGCCGAGCCTCGCCTTGCTTGAGGAGGCCAAAGAGGCGGGTCTGCACTTGCGCCTGCTGGTCCTTCTCGTCGTCCGTGCTGTTGCCGCTGCCGCAGTTTTCGTCCGGGATGAAGCTCAGGCGCATCTTCTTGCGCATCGGCATGTTGATCGCGTTCTCGACGTCGACCTGATGGCGGCGGCTGCGGTCGTCGGCCATCTCCGTCATGCCATCGTCGGCGGCCTCGATCATCGTCATGGGCTCGTCGGTGGTCGACGGAAGCCCGAGCATCGGGACCTCGCCCGTCATGTCCACGTTCGCGTCGCCGCTTAGCGCGTCGTCGGCGTGGCTTGCCATGATCATGTACCGACGCGAATGCAAAATGACCGCGGAGTATACAAACACCAAGTGACGCCGTTTCTTTATTTGCTCTGCAAATCGGGCATCCGGATCCACGACCCGAAAACACAAATTATTCTAATACCTTGCACTTTGTATTGAAAGCCTGTGGTTTTTAATGCGTGACGCCGCGAAGAAAATTACGCCGACCGGATGGTCTGATATCGTCGCACATCCGGATACCGCAGCCGCGCGGTCAAGTAAGCAAGCTCCAAGTCGAGAGAAGACGACAGCTCTACTGCTATATGTACGGTATGGGATCGAGGCCGAGGGGTCGAAGAGCAGTCTCAGTTCAAGCTGCGATCCCGAGTTGAGACGCGGGCGTGTGATCGGGAACGTGCGATCCTTGGGCATGTTCCGTGGTATTAAAATACATTGCTCTAAAAATATAATTGGAGATTCGGACGCCGGCGCATAGACGGACGTAGATCAAATCATTTTATTTGTCCCTATTTTTATGGTTTGAGATCCTATTTTATTTGGTTGGTTTTATTCGCGAAGCCGAAGGAATCGTCGAGGCAGTCGTTCGCTTCGACTCGCGTCGTCGCAGCGACTAACTAGGCAAATACGAATGTACTACAACCAAGCCCTCGCATAATGCACGTGGGTACAGACTGTATTGACGCATCTCTAACGTCCTGAGTAAAGGATGTGCGTGGCCACATCGTCGTGCGCCGTTTTTGTGCAGCAATTCGCGCGGCCTTGCAGGCCATCCCCACCACGTTCGAGATCTGCCTAAATGACACACCGTAGCACTCACGATGGCACTCGTCTCCTGCAAGCTATCGGTGGTATGCGGATTTGGTATACCTTGTAGAACACGCCCCAACGGACGCTCCAGCGACAGGAGGAGCTTGCTTCCACTGCCATCATCCACAGGATGCGCCGGTGACATCGCATCTCGATTGGGCCACATCCAAAGCAACCTTGAAACAGCAACACGTCGTTGTGTGGTCCACAGACCAATGGGACTCCTCGCCATGCAGAGCCGTTCCGCGTTGACAACCGGCGCCGACTTCATCTGCCAACCGCGTGGAAGGTTCCGTGAAAGGGCCGGAATGCCAGGTTCAGGCATCTTTAGTAGCAAATGCACGCAGGAGTATGCTGCAGCTAGCCAATCATCAAGGCCATCAACGCCAAATGACCCGTATTAGCACCAAGCCACTGGCCCCATGGACTAATTTCGCATCTCAGAGCACGATACCAGTCACTGGTAAATTTCCAGAAGCCAGTTTCGACGCTTGAGGCACAAGTTGTCCTCTGCAAGAAGGCTCCTCTCGCTGTGCAACTAGCATCCACAGACTCATGCAATGCCGTTTCCGTGTGGGGTTGTCGGCCGTCAAAACCGCGCCAACCGCCAACTTCAACTGGCAGGTTATCCGGATGTTCGGTGATTGGTCGAAGCGTACACCAATCGTCCCAGCGGTCCATCAAGCAACAACAACATGGCGGCGAGCAGCATGAGCATGTGGGCAGGCAAGGCGATCGTCGAGGTCGGCGACCTCGTCATCCTCTTCGAGACGCACAGCAGCGTCACGTACGCCTTCATGGAGAAGGACGGCTGCTACCAGAACCGCCACGGCGCCTTCCACCACAACGACATGATCGGCCAGCGCTTCGGCACCAAGGTCTACTCGCGCATGTCCAAGGGCTACATCTTCATCCTCGCGCCGACGCCCGAGCTGTGGAGCAAAGCGCTGCGCCACCGAACGCAGATTGTCTTTACGCTCGATGCGAGCGCGATCCTCTTCAACACGCACTGCGCGCCCGGTACGTTGCCCATCATATCGACCATGCGAGCCTCATGCGAAGCGTTGTAGGCAAGATCGTGGTCGAGTCGGGCACGGGCAGCGGCGCCTTGACGACGTCCTTTGCCCGTGCGATTCAGCCCAGCGGCCACGTGTACACGTTCGAGTTCAACGCCACGCGCGCCCAAGTCGCCAAGTACAACGACGTTGCAGCTCATACCGGTATATGGATCGCACGTGTGTAGGGAAGAGTTTGCTGCCAACGGCCTCGACAAGGTTGCGACCGTCGAGTGTCGGGACGCGTGCGAGCAAGGTACGTCGTTGGCTTCCTCCTTGACCACGATCGAGATGCGTCCTAGGCTTTCCCGAGCACCTCAACGACAAGGTCGACGTCGTTTTCCTCGATCTCCCGTGCCCGTGGAAAGCTGTGGGCCATGCGAAGCGCGTGCTCAAGACGGGCGGCGCGTTCGCGTCCTACTCGCCGTGCATGGAGCAAGTGCAAAAGACGTGTGACGCCCTGCGCCTCGACGGCTTTGACCGTAATTTTACGTCTAAATGGCGTCCAGAGCACATACGCGCGTAGGTGTCCGCACGATCGAGACGCGGCTCATGACGTACACGGCGCGCACCGTGACGCTGCCGGTACCCGACTTTGGCTCGTCGGACGCCGCAATCGCCAACGCGATCGCCGAAGCGTCGGGCGAGAAGCGCAAGCGTGTGCCGGAGGTTCCCGAGTCGGAGCTTCCGACGCACACGTTGGCCAAGCGCGACGAAGAGATGCGCGGTCACACGGCGTTCCTGACGTTTGCCTACAAGTTTTAATACGATATGGCGACGATGGCCATTGCATAAGCTCGTTACTGCGTGTCGTACATGCAGCTTCCATGGAGGGTGCTTCTGGCCGTCTTGGTAGAGCGGCTCGGTGATCACAGAAGGGCAGACTGTGCTTGTCGAACGCAAGGTCCCTCCTGGCTGCTGCCTCATCGAACGACAACCAGGCGATGATCATGTGGGAGCGATCGTCTGCAGTAGAAAGGCCATGCATACTACGGCATGGGAGATGCTCTTGAACGACGTACGGTGCTTCCTTCTGCCACCAAGCAGCATCGTCGCGCTTGGGCTCATCCAGACAGCGCTGCCAGTGACGCCTGCCACGTCACCGCGCGTCGATACGCTCGAAACGACCACCACTCTAATGTTGCAGCCAATCCGCGCTGTTCTCACCAAGCGGGAGCGATCCACGGAATCCGGATCCGGTTTGTTGCCAAGATGAGCAATAAGCGGCCGCCCACACTCGCCCATTTGCCAGCTTGAGCAGCATGCAAGCCGCCGACGCCAGCACCGCGCTGTACGAGGCCACGTGCCGCCATCTCGCGGAGACTACCCACTACGAGGACGTCGACCAAGGGCTGCTCTCGGCCGGTCCCATCCCGAGCCTCCAAGTCGCCGCCTTTAACTCGCTTACGACGACAGCCATGGTGTCACGTCAATGCTGGAGCGCTACCCGTCGAGCGTCGTGCCTGCGCAGGTTGTGCTGCTGTACTACGATGCACGGCTTCCGCACCCGTGGCGGGACGTCCTACCCATCATCATGGGGCGAAGTGACCTTCAACGTCGATGGCTTCTCGACCGCGTTGGCCACGAGCGTGACGATTGTGATGGCGCCTGTCACGGCCGGTCACGTCGTGGTCGCTGCTTTTGACCTCGTCGCCACGCGCCCGTTGGATGAGGCGCCTCCGCTCTCACTCACGTTTGAGGCCACGGTCGGCGACAGCATGATCGGCTTTGCTGTCCACGCCGGGGTTGTTCTCGACTTGATTGATCTGGAACACCACCGTCATCACGACGGGTGGTTCATTGCAGCGCTCATGGAATCCTTTGATGTTACAGCCGGGCGATGCGGATGAGAGCGCGCCGCTCGAGATTCAGCAAGGGACGATGCACTCGGCGCTAAGTGTTGCGACCCGAACATACCAGTGGGCGGTGTTCTCACCTGGGGATTGGTGTGGTGACTCAAGCTTGGCTAATGCAAGAGTGGTGTATTGGTAGCGTAGAATGCACCTTAGACATCGATAGAACACTAGTTTTGTAGAAGGATCGCGCGAAGAGGTGCGTCGAAGGGTCGTGGGTTGCGCAATGCAGGTCGAAGGGTCGAAAACCCAGAACAGGCGGGCAACCCTGGTTAAGATGGGTCTAGTCTTCCTTGACATTGATTGGCGGGAGTGAAGACGCACCTCGTGTTTTGGTCCACGGCGCATCGATCGCGCGCGCTTGGCGCCGGCGTCGCCGTCTTCGCTCTCGGGCCTACCGGTATCGCTGACGCTGGTCTTGGCCGCCGCTGCATTGAAGACACTCTGGATGTCCTGGACCACACATAACCCCACAACTTTTCGTGCGACGAAACTGGGCCGTATGTCATCCACGGCGGCTTCTTTGCCGACTTTGGCCGCGTCTTGAACGACATCGGCGACCATGGCCTCGTCGCGCGTTTCTCGGCCTCAGCGTCGCCAAGATATGCTACGACAACCGCATCTTGATTGCACCTACGATCCATCGCGCGCTTGAGCTCTTTGGCGCTGACGTTCTCATGCCGGCGCTCGAAGCGCTCCTCTCGGGGGCAACGTCCTGGTTCGGCCTTGCGAACGGCTTCTCGCAGGCGTCTCGGACAATGTCGATTGCTTTGCGCCAGCCGCTCTAGCGCGCGGACCTGCTGCGTTTGTACGCGGTGCTGAGCCATCGCGAGTGCTTTTTATGCCAGGCGAGTGCTCCAAGGAGCTCTTGCAGGCGACGCCGTGCACCTCGAAGACTACCTCTGGGACGGCGCGATGCTCCGTGGGCCATCGCGCTCGTCGCCGCCAACGCGGAAGAGTTCCATCCGTGGACCGTCTTGGCGCCGGAGGCTCTCGCGCTTGCGCCGGTGCGCTTGGCGCGACGAGCTTGCGCGCCACATCCACGACCTGCAACGTGCCCAACGACGGATCTCATAGCCATTGCCAAGGCGCGCCGCGAGGCGTTGGAAGCCGTCGCGGGTTTCTTCAACGAAGTGGCGGATGCGGCGCCGCGGTACCTCGCCCACGTCCCCTCCGCCAACGTCAAGGACCATGGTAGTGCTTCGCTCAATGCAAATCTCTCATTGTCCTTTGCCCGTTTGATCTTGTGTGAGGCACGTCCAATGCGCCGAGGGGTGAGATGCGAGAATCAAGCACGTCGATCGTCGTTGGCCTCGTTGCTGCAGTGCTGGAAAAGCCGCGTCGAGGACGGAGAGCCCAACGACATGACTTTGCCAATCACCTAGCACGTTGAAAACGATCAACACTCTGTCGCTGCAGCCAATCAGGGAACGGTCCGCCGAATCCGGATCCGGATTGTGGGCCACCCGAGAACGGGCGACTCATTGCCTTGCTCGTTCGGTATGCAGGACGTCGACGCTGACGCAGAGCTGTATGAGGCCGCGCGCCGCCTCCTCGGGAAGACCAAGCGCTGCAAGTACGTTGAGCAGGGGATACTCTGGTCCGAGGTTGTCCCGAGCCTGCAAGTCGCCGGCTTCGACTCGCGATCGCAGCGCGACAGCGACAGTGTTGATAAGCGTGTCTCCACATTGCTGGAGCGGTACCCGTCAGGTGTTGTGCCTGCCCAAGACGTATCGCTGGGCCACGTTGGCCAGTGCCCACGAACGTGGCGGGACGTGCTTCCGATGACGATGCAAGAAAAATTGGACAAGGAAGTGGAGACGTGCGCACCCGTGCTGTCGCACCTCGCTGTCGCCAGCGCCGCCTCGACGCCGCAGTTGACGCCGACCTTGCCGGCGAAGAGCAGCTTTGGGACGCTGCTTGTCTTCTTGTCGACGGCTTGCGAAGGCGGCCACGTCACAATCAAGTACAAAACCTTTTCGACACCGATGGTCACCGGCGTCAAATGGGGCTCGTATGCGGTGGTCCACCGCCGCGCTTCGATTTCGATGGCGCCTGTCGCAAGCGGACACGTCGTCATTGCCGTCTTTGATCTCGTTGACACGCACCCGCCGAACGAGGCGCCTCCCCTCTCGCCCGAGTTTGAGGCGACGGTCGCGGCGCTCAACGACGTGGTGGCAGCGCCTCGCGTCGCCCCGAACGTGGTCGGCTTTGCCTTGAAGCCTGCCGCTGGCCGCTCGCTCATTTGGAACGTGCACCGCTCCGACGACTACTGGGCGTTCCTCACAGCGCTCCTCGAGACCAAGGCCTTTGACGTCGCCTCTGTCCAATCGCAGCGGGTCGAGCCCAGCGGAGACGGCCCGTTCAAGATTCACACTGGCTACCTCTATCCGAATCCCAGCCGTTTGGAAATCACGTCGGCGCGCTGCCCGATCCAAGGCTTTATCGGCGGCGTTGACGTCGACGAGCTGGCTCGCCCAGGGACGAAGAAGTGCCTTGTGTTTTGGCCAACCGTGTGTCGATCGCGTATTCTTGGCCCGGAAGATACCATCTTCTCGCTTGCGACCATCACCGACGCTGGGCTTCGCCGTCGCTGTCTTGAAGACACTCTGGAGGTGTTGGAGCACATGCCTTCAGAGGCAGTTCCAAGCGCATTCAATGGATCGTATGCGACCCACGGTGGGTGCTTCTTTGGCGACTTTGGCCGCTTCCTGAACGGCATCGGCGACGAAGGATTTCCAAGGCAACCTCGACTTCTTTGCCTCAACGATCCATCGCGCGCTGGAGCTCTTTGGCGCCGACGCCCTCTTGCCGGCGCTTGAAGAGCTTTTCGCAAACTGGCAAACCAACTGGATCGGTTTTGCGAACGGCGTCCAGCTCCTGGCCAGCCTCGCGGGCGTCTCGGCGGATGCCGTTTGCGCCGGCCTGCCACTGTCGCGCGCGGATGAGCTGCGCCTCTACATGGTCCTCTTCCCCGACCCGACGCCCGAGCGCTTGTTGGAAAATGAAAACTTGATAACGGAGCTCATGCAGGCGGCTCTTTTGGACGCCGTGCGCCTCGAGGCGTACCTCTGGGACGATCCACTGCACGGCGTGATGCTCCCAGAGCTCATCCAACACGTATACGCGTTCCGCTTGCCGCCGCCGCGCTTGGAAGCGCTCGTCATCGCCAACGCCGACATCTTCCCCCCGCTGACGGTCGTGGCACCAGTCGTTCTCGCGCTTGCGCCGACGCGCTTGGTCTGGTGCGACGAGCTCTTGCGGGTCGCGTCCTAGGTGCCACGCAACTGTTGCGGCTATCGCCCATGACCTCACTTGTACCAAGTGCTTGCAGCTTTGCACATCGGGTGCTTGTACACTTCCAGTTGAAGGCCAACGACATCTTCTCCATGGGTAGGTTTAGGGCAGCTTCGATCACACTTCACGCACTCTAGTATATTCATTCCTCTTGGCATCCTCGGTGTGCAGACGACGCAAAGCTCCACAACAGCATCACGGAGCGTGTTTTTGCGGTGCTGGTGGCCAGCGTTGATGTCGCCTTTGCCCCTTGCTGCGATACCTGCCGTGCCTTGAGTGCCTTCGGTCGCCGACAACGAAGACGCGGAACCACAACCCACCGAGGTCATAGCTACGGTGCTCGAATTGATCGAGATGATCTATGGCTGGCCTGACCAAGCTGCGATCACGAGGAGCGGGATCCAGCGCTGCCCAAAACTGACGGCGATGACGCACCCAAGCGCTTCAAGTCGTCGTCGCTGCTCCTGTGTCAACGTGCGTTGGTCCACTTTGTACGTGTCGCATGGTTCTCCCTACTGCATTCGCCTCGCACGTCGCAGGATCACGATCAGCGAGCTACAAGTCGAGCGACTATCGCCTCTGCGACACCAAGGAGGATCAAGGGCATACAGAGTGCTGTGATTGCATCATCGTCTTAGTCGATCGACGCTCGCCGTCCTAGTCGAACGTCGAGTCTAGTCGCCACGGTGCTGGAAAAAGCCAAGAATGTCCTTGATGAGGATTTGCCAAAAGACGTCGACGACGACTTCGGCGACAATGAGCCAGATCACAATCCACTCGAGCTTCGTGTCGTGCTGCCGCGCGAGCTGCTGGCTCAGCACGTCGAGCCTACATTGCCACTCAGCTCGCATATCTTTCAATGTATCAAGCCGTACAATTCGCGCAGAATGTCGAGGCGCGTGTTGAGAATGTGCACGCGGCTGTCGACGTCGAGGTACTTCATCATCTTCTTGTAGAGCGGCTGGTACTCGTCGTCGTCCCAGAAGAAGTCCGGGTCGTCGAGCATGTCGGAATTCAGGTTGATGTCGCTCCGCTAATATATATATATGAGTACCTCTTGATAGATTGATACAAAACGGAAATACCTCGATGAAGAGACGCCCAATGAGCTGCGAAATGTCCTTTTGCGAGTACTTTTTGATCTCACCCGTCTCGGCCAGCGTCTGCGGAATGTGGCGCGTCTCCTGAATCGTCTCGTCGACGCGCTGCTCAAAGACGTCGAGCTTGGACGACTGCGCCATCGCAAACGAGATGGCAATCTTCTCGGACGCGCGGAAGCTGCTCAGCGTGATCGAGTCGTTGATGACGCTATCATACGGTATGAGCACATGACGACGCATCGTCATCATCATCATGTCTACCTTGTCGCTTCGCCGTAGCTAAAGTCCATGTCCTCGACTTCGACCTGCTTGACGTAGCCCTTGGAGAAGGCGCGGATGGCCTGGATGTGCGCTTGCTCTTCCGCGCGCGTGAGGCCCCAAAAGACCGTGCAGCCCGTCGCAAAGTAGAAGACGTCTTTCCGCTCAATGCTCAGGTTCTCTTCCGTGACCATGTCGCTACAGGTGAAGATGAGCCGACGCGTTTCAGAGATGGGCGAACGTACTCTTCGCGGTCTTCGGTCGCGCATGACGAGTGGATGGCGCCCATGTACATCTTGTGGGTCCAGCCGTTGGGGCTGAGCTCGCCGCCCGGGAGCTGGCCCGTCTCGATGCGCTCGAGCCACTTGAGGAGCTTGAAGAGCTGGAGCGAGTCGCACGTGCAGTACGCCGACACGCGCATCTTGGGCACGCTCAAGTCTTGCTACACAACGGCATGAGCCACACGCCCATCGACTCGCAGGACGGAACGTACGCGAAACTTCTTCATGTTGCGCATGCGAGAGCGCCGCGTGTACCGGTTGGCATTCCGCGACGCCTCCATGACCTGTTGGGGCGACAGGTCATTGAACTGCGAGAGGTAGCGGGTATGCTGTACAGGGTTGGGCTTGAGAAAGTTGTTGAACCCCGTGCGCGGCTTGGCGTGCGGCAGCACGACCGGCGCCGGCGGGTATTTCTGCGGTATCGTTATCGCAAACATGTCCTGGTCGCCCTCCTCGTCGCTCGAGCTGTTGTTGGTCGCGTTGTAGTGGCCCGCGCCGTAGTAGACATGGCGGCGCGTTGACGGCGACATGGCGCCACCTATATCCATGCCATGAGCAAGCGCTACGACGACGAGGAGAGGCCTACCGCCGTTGCCATAGTGCACGGCCGAGTCCGAGTTGTAGTTGATGGCCGGCAGCTGCTGCGGGCGGCCCGCCGGGATCAGCGGCGACTCCTCGTTCGGGATGTCTTCGCTCAGAGACGTGTTGACGCGCATGGTCCGGGTCACGAGGTTGGCGTGCGGGTGGTCGGGCGGCGTGGACGGGCCGGGCGTCGAAGGCTGGGTCGGGGAGTGAATCTTGGAAGTGGTTGAAGCCGACGGTCGGCAAAAGGTATTTTGACGCGAGCAATTAAATGCACCCTTGCTTTGTATAGACGTCGAATAAAATTCCGCGAGCGCTCCCGGCCCTAGCCTGCGCCCTACAAACACCAAGTTTATTTTATATCATTTGATAGAGGTTTTCGATGGGCCCATATCCCCTGTGTGACGCTGGATACGTATACAAGTACCCATCGGTTGCTACAGGATATCCAATTAAAGAGGGTTTCCACCGCAGCTGGGACCTGGGACAAGCTCGATCGCGCAGATCTAATGGCTGGGACCACGTGACAGAGGCGACGTAATCGCAGCCATCGATGTGCTTTTTAACTGGTGCGGGACGATCGCGATGCACCTTGCGCTAACGTGGCCAAACACAAAGCGTGGGTGGTGTTCAAAAGGCTTCAAGAACAAGAAGACATTGCTGGCCAACTTGTCGACGCCGGTCATCTCGATGGCGCTGCAGCGGCAACCATATGCCAAGTGTCTTGGGCGATTCCTCCCATGTGCCGTGATCCAGCGACGGCGAGACGCAGCGCCTTGCGAGGATGGGTCGCACCTTCTAGAACGTCTTCGCCGCCACCAGTACAGTAGTAGCTACTAGTATGGCGCTTCGTCCATGCGCATGGGATGCTTGTACGTGGCACTGCAGCTTGCTGGATATCGGCATTCGCTCGGGCGCGTGCCACGTCAAGCTCCCATCAAGTTTTGCAGTTTTCAGCGGTGCAGGTGCTTCAAACGACCTGTCGACACGGCTCTGGCGGCTACCCTAGCGTACAGCTAGTCTAAACTACTCCGTTTCTTAACTAGTCGATGCGCGTAGTCGATCGGGCGAGACTGCGACTAGCACGACGCGGTCACGTGGTCGTCTCGACGCCATGTACCCACATCCGACGGCGATCTTGGAGGGACGCCAGCATGCTTGGTATCCGGCGGCCAGGTCATCCGGATAAAGCGGCCTTTCGATTTTTGCTGGTCGACGACGACGCATGGAGTTCCTCGTGCACAACATCTCGCACTCGGACCTCGTGGTCGAGCTGCAGGGCGACGTAGGCCTCGCGACGCACCATGGCAAGAGCTCGCTCCTTGCGCGGCCCAAGTTCAGCCTCTTCAACATTGTCTCGCAGTGCATTGTCGCGCGGCTCGAGACGCTCTTGCCGACGAAAGCGTCGCTCGCCGTTGACATGCACGAGTACTGTCGCGCCACGTCACACCCGATTGGCTTCCGGTCCGTCGCCTTTAGCATCGATGATCGTGTCGGCTCATGGCGATCGTAGGTTTGGTGCGCATGCGATTGCACTGCCGTCGGCGTCGCTCGCACTCTCGGACTTTCAGCTGCGCTGCTCCGAGGCGACGCAGCTCGAGGTCGAGCGCAGCTGGTCAAACGTGTCGATCTCGGCCGTCTTTCTTCCGCTCCTCGGCAGCCTCGTGCCGAAATGGATCCAAGTGCTTGCAGATGTGCACTCGCAAGACAGCCAGCAGCTGCTCTACCTCATCTCGGGCGCTGGCATTCCGCGCAACGCCGCCCATTCGATCATTGGCAACTCGACCGAGTGCACGGCCGCGCTCATGACGCAGTTCATTTCGACGTACTACCCCAAGATGCACATCACGCGCGTCCACTCGGGCTCCAACATCTTTCGGTACGACGACAACGTGCAGTTCATGACACGCGAGCTGCGGCCGCTCCTCGAAGCCCACCGCGATACGCTCGTTCAAAAGGTCGGCGATACGTGGAAGAGTCATTTCCACTTGACCATCTCGTACGCCGACGGCCCGCCGGCGCGACTGAGTGCGCTCAACGCTGCGCTCCGCGTGTACACACCGTCGTACTTGCACCTCTGGCAGCTCAAGACGTTTTGGCACGAGTCCAAGCTCAGCCTCGACGACGTCGACTTTCACCCGTTCGAAGACATTGAAGCGACGCCGCAGATTGCATTGAGTGAGGTCAAAGAGCCGCTCGTCCTTCGCCTTGTGGACGAGATGAAGGCGTTCCGCGACTGCTTTGTCGACGGCCAGCACCTCGGCGAGGTCGGCAGCTTTTGGCTCCGAAAATCCCGCAAGCCCGTGCTCGCCATCTTGCTCATCCAGAAAACTTTGCCCAATGGCGAGACGGCGCTCGTTGTGCACCGGGGCATGAACTGCGAGGTCTCGATGCCCACAGGATCACTCTGCGCCGAGCGAAATGCGATCGGCAGTGCGCTCGCCAACGACCCGACGCTGCACCGGAACGCACTCAAGATGATTGGCGTCCTCAGCGTCAACCTGGCGCCATCATCTTCGACGACGGCACTGCCGTTGCCACGCACTGTGTCGTTGCCGACACCGATCATGCCGACGGTCCGCGCCGCCGCCGACTGCAGCTCGCCCAAGGCAAAGAAGCCCAAGCGCCCGCGGACGTTCTCTTGCGACGGCACGACGCCGGCCGTCGCGTCGGCGCTGGCCGAGATCAGGTATCTATCTGATTGCCTCTTCTGGATAGGAATTAAAGACGTGGCGTAGTGCACCCAAGAAGGAGGTGC